TCCCCAGCCTCTCTGAGATGCTGCAGGTGTGAATCACTGTCTCTCCCCTCCTTGAAACCATTCTCCTGTCTCCTCTAAATAGCCACCACCTCCACCTCACTCCACCTCTCCAGAAATAGCCGCCTGGTACTTGTTAGGATACCAGCCAACCTTGAACTGCTCATCCAAACCCTCTCAACAGGAAACCCAAGAGTGAAAGTATGGAATGAGAGGTACATGACTAGAGGGTGAAACATGTCACAGGGAAACACAGATAATGGTGGCTGAAATGGAAAAAGCACCAGTTTGGGATTTAAAGCTATAGACAGCAGCAACAGCACAGGAGACTCCGCTGGGGGAGAGGGAACATGGAGAATTATGAAAATGGAAAAGGTGGGATGTGGAAGAGAGACGTGGGGAGAAACAACTAGGTGTAAATCCTCAATAAAGGCATGTCACCCCTTAAGGAATTTCTACAACATTGCTTCCAAAAAATTGATACAATTGGTTTTTTCTTTAACAAAAATAATAATAATCTGTATTTGATTACATATAGTTCTGTACATGCACACACATAGTACATCGCTCTTTCTCTCATTGAAACTTACACCTATCATTTCCTACAGCAGGGAGCAGGAAACAATCCTTTCCTCTGCAGCTTTTTCATCTTTGCTTTAAACAAAAAAGGAGAAGAAGACTTGTCTCCAGCGAAGTGTAAGTCACTAGTGTTGGACATCTAGTCATGTTTTTGTACTTTACTGGAGTATTTCCATTTCATGCCACATTACACTGTCACACAACTACAATTCAGAGGCAAATACACTTTTATTCCACAATTAACTGACAGCTATAACTAGTTATTTTGAAAATGAACAAGTTATATGTTGTTTTCAAATGTTTTAATCTAATGATATAATATCAAAGTACAGTGAGTGCCTTTACTTTTTGTACTATTTATGTAAATTTTCAATGTGCTACTTTTACTTGGAATAGAGTATTTTTAAATAGAGGTAATGCTACTTTCACTTAAGAATTTGACTACTTTGTGCATCTCTCAGTCTCACCACAAGCTTTTTGGTCATATCTCCTGGTCTTTTTCAGCACATACAGACATGTGACAAATGAATGGGAAACCCTGAATACATAACGAATGCAAATGCTGGCCTGGTTTGGGTCCACTTGTCCCCTTACAGGGAAGGGCCACAGCAAATCAATACAAAATTGTTCTGAGTGATCACCTTTATCTAACACTGAAACAATTCTGTCCTGATGAGAGTGACCTCCTCCAGGACAACAGTGATCCTTATTCACAGGGCATGAGGGGTCACTGATGGTTTGACGAGTATGAAAATGATATGAATAACACGTAATGGCCTTCGCAGTCACCAGATCTCAACTTGATTGAACACTTATGGGGAAATATGGAGCGACGTGTTAGACAGCATCTCCACCACCATCATCAAAACACCGTATGAGGGAATATTTTTCAGAAGACTGGTGCTCATCAGCATTAGCTTAAAAGTTGAAAAGACAAAAAATATCAAAACCAACCAGGCAAACACTGTCTGCCGACAAAGAGTGTGTGGAAGCTAAATGTTTTGGTGACACTCCCTGATCAGTTACTGTTAGCACGTTCAGGCACAGTCAATGTTTCAACAAGTAAACATCTTGTTCTTGTTGCTTGTAGATGAGAAAATACTCAAACATTCACTCAGAGGACAGTGGTCAACCTACGAATCTAACAAAACCCTCACACACATGATGTTTACAGTACACATGTGCATCTATGAGAACTAGATTCGGTTGTTTGGTGTGGAGACGTTCACATTTATTTAAGAAATGTGCACACAGGGATAACTTTTGCATGGGTCATAATATAGAACTGGGTTTACTGGTGTGGATCCTGTTTGCATGTGGGTTAGGGTTATCTTCACCTGCAGATTCACGGGAACAATGCAGGCCTGCTCCAAAATGCTCTGCCTTCTTTATCTCCCTCAGCAAATGGGATGCGCGCGCGCATGCACGCACTCACACACCTGTACAGAGAAGTTTGGCCTATAGTAGAGGGGACCATGCCCAACTTATGGGGGTGCAGAACCGTATGTGTCTCATTACTACCGGGTATTAAACTGTCTATAAATAGCAATGCAGTGTCAGTGTGTTATTTTCCAACATGAATACACACTAACTGAGGCGTCCTATCAGCTCACAGGTAATGAGCAAGCAGAGTTTCAGTGTCTTGCTCAAGGACACTTCATCAGCAGCTTTTATATTCGCCCCCCTCCTCTCTCTATGTAGCAGACTATCTGGCCGCTTTTGCTCACCCTGAAGATTTTGAGTCGTGACGTATTTTCTAACGGGGGCAAGCGAGTTTTCACACCGGTGCTCCATCTGCTTGCGAGGGCGACTATTTGGGGAGATAAACTGCGCCTCGCTCTCGGACTGCGCGGACTGTTTTCTCTCTGTTAACAGCCGCACTTGACAACAAGCGTCCTTTACTGCTCAGTCCACCTCCGTCCACCAGGAGGGAAATAACAGGATTTTGACCTGGAAGACTGTGCAGACAAAGTCATTTAGGAAGTTTTGTAATCGATTTTGCTAAATAAAAAGTGCCGAGGGCGCAGAAACATGTTGGATCGTTGTAACCAAATTATTCTATCATTGCTTTTTGGATGCCTGGCTTGTCTTGTGGTGACATCTGTTGTAAATGCAGGCGGTAAGTCAATATTTTCAGCCATTTAACAGAAGAAAATATTTGTGACAGCAAAACATTTGTTATAAACACACAGAAATTTTCGGGTATTGGTGTGTTAACTTAGACGAACGTTACTCAAAGCGCACAGGTTGAAGCGCGCGTTAACAACTACCTTTTTGCTTTGCCTTCCAGCGTTTCTCCTCTGAGTAGTCTAGTAGTTTTTCTCTCTAAAATAAATGTCATTGCTATACATAACCTGTGTATAAGCAGCTATACACATCTAATAAACCCGTGCGTAATGGATATGACTGTATTTTGAGCGCGCAGAGACGCATCTTAGTTTGGCTTATCGCCAGTTTTATCCAGATATTTAGCAGTTTTTAAACAAAAACAAAAAAACCATCCTTCCTTTAGTGTTACTGAACCCCGGCTAATGATGCGACAACGAGGTGATAATGGAAGAGACACTTTGCTGCTGTGAGACTGTAAAATGATCACACCTGTAGCCAATTAACCATCACAGGAGGCGGGTAGATGGGTAGATTCATAGATTTCAAACGTCCCTGTCGAGTTACTCTTCAGCCACGGACCTGCAAATATTATGCAAGTAATTAAAGCGATCTTGTTAAAGAAAACATTTTAGAATATGCCATCAAATATCGTTTTTGTTATACTGAGAAATGTACTGGGAACTGATATTCTATGTAACAAGAATCAGTTGTCTTAATTAGGACGGAAATGTCTTGATTAACTGATGATTGCGTTTGTTTTCCAATAAAAAAAACATATCTGTACTATGGCAGACATAATTAGGATTTTAGTATCAGTCTAAAAAAAGAGTGCATTGCTCTTCAAAAATAACTTCAAATAAAACAGACTGGCTCATTTATCGTTTGCTTGGAGACTGTGCTTTGCGTTTTCTCTGAAAATATTCCAGAGGATGTCCCAAATCTATATTTTAAAATTTGACCACTGTTCATGTGAGCTGAGGAAATTTAAGCAGAAATATAATTTGGTGTTCAAATATAGTTAATCTAAGATAGGAGATCCTTTAGTCTTCTTTTTCTTATCTCCTAGACAGTAACTAACCTGGGATATTTGTCTTTGTGATCACACACATCTGTTTTTTGTCTTCATGTAAGGATGAATGAATATTGTTTGGATTTTGAGGCCAGACCTTGCCTGTACCCAGAAACTCTGATGTCAGTTTTATACAACAGAGCTCATGAAAACTTGACTCTTTATGAATTTCTACCATACAAGAGCTTCATAACAGGTACTAAGATGTTTTCCAGTTACTCACTGCTCTCTCTTTTCTCAGTTCGCGTGTTTGTCCTGGAGCTGAGAAACTCCTCTGGCCTGCAGGGCTTCAGAGAGGCTGAGCGGGCTTGTACTTCACTACATACCCGCTTGGCATCAGCAGAGGAGCTCCGCTATGCTGTGCTGGAGTGCTTCTTCTCCCCGTGCACCCGTGGGTGGCTATATGAAGGCACCGTGGGGTAAGAAAAGAAGAAAAGTCTTCATTGATTTAAGGGACATTTAGGGAGACTTGTGATTTCTAGAGATGTCAAAGGTCATTTTGGTGTGTGTGAGAGACAGAGGCAGGAATGGATAAAAGAGAAAGGAAGCAAAAGCAGCAGCGGCAGTAAAAGAGACAGAAGAAGAGAGTGACACATTTCAGGGGGGAAAGAGAAAACGCAGAGAGGATGAGAGTGAGAAAGACTCCTCTGTTCCTTCCTGGAGGAGGAGGGAATTCAGAGCCGGGGTGTCATGTTGACAACTGATTCCATTTACACCTCTCATCTCCCCGGTAACATGACACACAGCGTTCAGCACCCAGAGACAGAAGGCGACACAAAACAGACAGACAGACAGACAGGCAGAGACAGAGAGGACTGGATCTGGAGGAAGACAGGTACACTCTTATAGCCAGGTGTCTAATTGATGACTTGCAGTAATTACAGAGCACAGACAGGAAGTATTGTAGTTGCCTTTGGTTTCTAATATAAGGTGATTGCAAGCCTAAAGGGTACATGGTATGTGCAGTATAATATGGATGGCTGTGTAGTGCTTGTACTGTTCAAGGCTGAGCTGAAATACTGCCCAGAATTCATAAAGTGAGAGGCTTCTTTTTAAAACATTTAACTATTAAAACAGAATCAAGTTATGGTGGCATGGTGGAAAGTGACCAGTGCTGTTGCCTCACAGCAGGAAGGTTTCGGTTTGAGCCGCATCCAGGCTGATGTCTTTTTGTGCGGAGTTGTCATGTTCTCCCTGTACCTGCATGAGTTCTCTACATGTACCTTGACTTCCTCCCACAGTCCAAAGACATGCAGCTTAGGTTGACTGGCAACTCTAAATTGCCTGTAGGAGTGAGTGTGGTTGTTTGTCTCTAAGTGTCAGTCCTGTGATACACTGGTGGCCTGTCCAGGGTGGACCCCGCCTCTTGTCCAATGTCAGCTAGGACTGGCTCCAGCCCCACCAAGACCCTCTCCAGGATGAGCAGTATAGATAATGGATGGATGGAGAATCAAGTTTACAAGAAATAATTTCTCAAGCATTTTTGTCTCTTTCTAATTTCACCCCAAGTATAAAGCTTGGCAGCTCTTTGGTCGATTTGACATGTTGAATTGGCATCAGGCTAGTTGGACATCATCAGTGAGAGAGAGACTAAAAAAACTGTCTATCTTCAATGCAGGAGAAGATAAATTATCTGGAAAGCTTCTCCAGTATTCACGATTCCACCCATTTAATCCTTGTTTTTGATTAGAAGCAGCTCTAAACAGCAGTTGTGCTGAACAAGGGCTGCTTATTTTACAGCTTGTATTTCTGCTGTCTAGCTCTTCTTCTTTCCCTTTCTGAATGGTAAATACAGATACCATCACCTGCTGGTAGGGGAAGCTATTTCTCTCATACAGGTGTAGAACGTACATACGCGCTAGTTGGCCATTGGCTGCAGTCTGTGCGGTCTGTTCAAGTGTCACTTTTTCAACCACACTGGCCCAGACAAAGGTGACATGAGGCGACGCAACAGTTACCGTTTTTTCACAACAGCTTGGTGTCTCTGCCAGGGGTGACTGTGGTTCAGTGGGTAGAGCGGTCATCTCCCAACCAGAGGGTTGGAGGTTCCAATCATGGTGTCTGCAGTCCCCATGTCAAAGTGTCCTTGGGCAAGACACTGAACCCCAAGTTGCCCCCGATGGTTAGAACCATCAGTGTGAATTGGTGCCGCAGATGGCTGCCTCGGTTCTGTACCAGAAACAAATTCCTTTTGTGTGTAAAATACTTGGCCAAATAATGTGATTATCCTTATCCTTAGTCAGAATGGTGGTCACAGGTGTTTGAAAATGTTGTATCTGCTTTACACATATTCAGTGCAGAACCATAAATCAAATTTAATTCCTAATCACTTTTGTGACTAATATCGCTTAATTCTTTTCAATTTTTCCTGTGGTTAGATTTATGCTGTTTTGGCCTATAAGGCTTGCTGTTAGCACAGTTAACCTATAGTCTTCAGAATTGCATTGACACAATTTTTTAGCTGTGAGTGTGTGTAAATACATGTGTGTGTTGTGTATAAGAGAGAGGCACAAAGTGTGCTTCTCGGATGAACTCTCTAGCTCTAAAATCTTCCTCTTGCCTGCCAGTCATGCATCTGCTGCCTCGGTAACCAAACACAATAATAATGGATTAAGTTAACACATGTCTTTGGGTTGTTCCTGAATTAATTATGTCACAAAAAATATCAATTTTGAGAAATGTAATAAGTGTGCTCTGTTTTTTTTTTTTTACCAATTCCCCTCTCACTGCCTCTCTCTTATACACAACACACACATGTATTTACACACACTCACAGAAGCCTGCAGGAGCTAGAGTTTGATGTGAAAACAGTCTTTGTGAGTTTAGTCTCTCTCCGGGGTGTTTTCTCACTCTCTTTCTCAGACTTTTGTCCTTATAAGCTGAAGTTAGCATGGCACAAGCATGCAGGGTGACTCATGCACCTCTCTTCTCACAGTCGCACTATGCTGCCAATCAAATTCTTTCCAATTACTTATGCTTTGATTAACTCTCTTGCACACAGACTCACACACAAGCACAAGTCTGGGCCGATTCCTTTTCCATTTAGCGATGCTTGATATTACTAGTCTCACCTGTTAATGAAAAGTACAATATTTGTGTCTTCGAATGATGTTTTTGGACTAAACCTTTGTCCAACTTTGCCGAGTGTTCTTTCCACGTGGAGCTGATAAGTGTCAGGAGCTGCTATGGGAACATGATATGAATAGCCTGGGAAATCTGGGTCAGTCTTATCTGCTGCTTTTTGTTTGATAAATGGACTAATAATGCTTTAAATCTCTGTAATGACGTGGCACTAAAAACAGACCATTTACTCATCATTTTTAGCCACTGCAGCTTGTAGACATTGTGCACTGACCACATTATTCATTTGGTCCCTGTGGGAAATGTGTTTTAAGTCCTGATATGACTGTACAAGTTCTGCATGGGAACATCGATTTCTAATGTGCCACACTGTGATAATATTGTGCCACAGGCTAGAACTGCAGATACTGCAGTCTGTCTGAGCCATGATGTGGTGTCTCTGGACTCCAATGTCATGCTGTAATAATATCTGAATAAGCAGCAAAATGGGTGATTAGCCAGAGAGCAACAAGCACTGTAAATACTATATCTGTCCATGCATGTTGTCATATGTGTGTGTATATAGCTGGCTCATTTAGGTCTCAATGCTGGTCGTAGCAGGGATTGTTCTTAGTGCTGCATTCACATCCTCTAGTAGACTTTCAGAAGGTACTTCACCTAGTCTTGGTAACTGGCCACGGAAGTTCCAGGTGTCCATCTTGCTCATGATCTTTAATCTCAGGTCAGCTGCTCTTGAATCAAGCTCATCTGGGCTTGGTACCGATTGTGGGGTGATGATGATGATATCTCCCCCCGATCTGGTGTCCAGGCTCCGCCTTGCTAGCATTCGTGTCAATAATGTATGAAATAATTGTAATTCATCTGTGCTTCTTGCGGATGTTAGAGCTACTAGTTGTTTCGAAGTTACACTAGATATTGGGTTGCAAAGTAGCCATAGGTCCCACATCCTCTGTATGTAACCCCTCTTGCTGGGGTTACTTGTATAGTAGCATTCCAGTAGCTCCCTGTTCTCCTCTCTTGCCCATGAATGTCTTGTTCCAGTAGTCCACTTCTCATCAGGTTGGTTCCTCAACACCTGACACAGACCTTCTTGACCTGGCCAACATCTCAGCCAGTGTGACTCTCATTACCCATGAGGTAGGCAGGTAGTATTACGGCCGTTGCCTAAGGGCCCAGGCTGACCTGGGTTCGAACCCCTGACCTTCCATATCAAAGTCAGTGGTGTTAGCCACTGAGCTAATCAGTCAGCTACTACAAATGAACCAGCTACTAATGGATGGAACCCACCCTGAGTGGTTAACTGAAGGCCGGACAGTCCTGATCCTGAAGGACCCTCAGAAGGGAGCAGTACCATTCAACTACTGCCCAATAACCTGCCTCTGCACAACATGGAAGCTCCTGTCAGGCATCATAGCAGCTAAGATGAGCAGGCACATT